TTCTCCAGTAAATATGTCATTATAAATATTTAAATGAAAAATTTTTTCAATTACCTAATTACGTATTAGTGGAGGAAACAGGATAATAAGCAGACAACAGTACAGCGAATACACTTGAAACATATAAAAATTATTTAATTTTTTTTTTTACAAATAGTCTTACAATTATATTTGTTCTTCGGCTTATGTTACGTCGATGAATTCAATATTGTACTTAATGATTGCTAACAAATTTCGTCCTTATAAAATTGTTCAAATTTTGCTAAAATATAATGAGTCTAAATACAAATAATTTTTAGTCTAAAATTATTATAGTCCATGTGAATAAGTATTCTACACTCTAATTTTCGTAATTAAAAAAAATTCAAAATACGGTCACCGATATTTTAATTGAGTACTTTCATTATTTCAATAAATGTAATTAATATATTTATCTGCCAACGATGTTACAATTGACGAAAATTTTCTTTTCGACCCCATATAATTACAGCTTGAATAAGCCTGCACTTCAACCCAAATATTACTTACAACTCTTTATTCCAAACAAGATGTATGAAAATAAAAAATTTTTGTTCACGTGAGAGAGATGCAATATTAAAAATTATGACCAATGTATTGGTATTATCAACAAAAGGTTGTTAAAATTCGGGTCACTTGAGTACAAATATGTACACGCATATTGTATAAAAACGTTGTGTCAACATTTACAACTCATACCATTACTTCCAATGCATTTAAAATTAAACGTGTCATGTTTAAAACAGTCTTATAAGTACCAAGGTTTTGAAATATAATTAATAAATAAAAACCATTTTAGAAAACTCTGTCTTGATAGCTTGTGTCTACTGCAGTAGAATTCGGTTTTGCCTGTCCTCCAGGTACTGGATGATGCGGATGACGCATGTGGCCAGGCCTCCGCGGCGGAGCTAAATATTCAAACATACTCTGAGTATGTTGGGCCAACATTTTGCCCAAATCACAAGGCATTGGATCAGTCCAAAAAAAATCGTGATTCAAAGCTGTGTCAGAATCGAATCTTTTGCTGGGATCCAAAATCAGCAATTTGTCCAACAAATCGCATGCATAGGCATCTTTAACATAAGGTCTTAGCCTTTCTTTCACCTGTAATAAAATTTTTTTCTCCGTTATATTATTTTAAAATATTGACTCTTAGAATGTGAGAATATTTTTTAAATAACATACTTTTCGTTTTTGGCCCTGAATTAATTCCATTTTATTAAATAAGTCTAATTGATCTACTCCCGGCCAAACATCAGGCGTTATGGAACCACAAAGTTGCGATATAAGAGTCAGCTGCTGTTGCTCTGTATTTCCTTGCATTATTGGTGATCTAATTTTCGTACAAAATGATGCATTTAATGTTACACCTTCTTGTTTTATACGAATTCTTTATTAAAAATATAAATACCGAGTCCACATCTCGGCCATTATGCAGCCAGCACCCCATAAGTCAACCGGTGGCCCATAATTCCTGTCACCCAAAAGTAGTTCTGGTGGCCTGTACCATAAGGTCACAACTCTGTTGGTGTAACGGTTTGCTTGGCCGCCTTTGTTTATACTAAATGCTCTGGCAAGTCCAAAATCAGCCAATTTCAGTATACCATTTTTTGTTATCAAAACATTTGCCGCTTTCATATCTCTGTGTAAAATCTGGAACAAGAGTAACATAAAAACCCTGAGATTTGAAGATTGATGAAAATTTTTTTGCTCGTTTGAATTGGATTCTACAAACGTCTAATTTTCCGGCATCAGGGAATAACAATCTTTGTACAGCGTTGATTCACAAGAAATTTTTTATAGGAAAACATTTCGTAATACTTTGAGTTTTGAAGCTACGAATCTTAATTTGGGAATATAATGGCTCAAAAAAATGTTGGATCGTCTTGCTGATAGTTTAAAAGTATCTATATAGTTACAAAGTGATAAATGCCTAAGTCATTGACTTAATTAAAGCTCCATGTTACAAAATTAAGTATGAAAGACCCATAACTGAAGTGGAGACTTTGACTTTCAGTTTTGGAATATTATACGATGGTAGTTTCGAACGAGACGTTCAGTATTTTCTTTAACGATATGAGTATCTATAACTTTTGACAATCAAATGATTATAAGGTCAAGATAATATATTGCAAAAAATGTATTTAATAAAGTATTTGGTTGCCTTTATCTGCATGGCATTTTTCAACCGCAATCACAATGCATCTTCAAAATTTTATTTTTCTTTCAAGAATATTACTGCTTTTTATGTTTATATCAAAAAGTAAGGATGGCGACAGATAATGAGTAAGACGATGAACACATAACAGAGATATTGAATATTACTGTAAGAGGGTATGCATACATTTTTTATATCGCATTTTTATTTTAAACGATTTTTAATCGATTTCGGAAATTCGATGATAAGTTCGTGGTTATCGACCCCGAAAATGTTTGTTTACACGTTGCCGTACAATTTTGATTCACTATATTTTGTTTTAAAAATCTGATATAGTATGATCAGCAACCCTAAAAATCTCTCTGTACTTATTTGAAGCAATAGCTATGGTTTTATTTTTTAATTTTCGTCCGCTACATTGGATCTATTATTTTCAATTTCGGGGTTCTAATAGTGAAATCGTAATCATAGTCCTCCTTCTAAAATCTCTAACTATAGGTACCTACCGATTTTTACCACAAACTGGATGACTAAAAAAAAAAAACATCTATTGTATCCTTTAGTTATATGTAATTTTATGATTCGGTATGGCACGCATGACACCTTATAAAAATTTAAATTATTGATACACTGACACAAGAGCTCTTAGTGTAGTTTCAAGTAATTCTTAAAGTAATAAATCGAATTTTTTTACATGTTTTTTTGATGAAAAACGATTACATGTACAAAATCACTTGTAATCTTATAGAAGAATTATTGTATAACACAGCTAGCACTGGCAAGACACATGGTTTCGTTATAAGATAAACGAAACGTTTCACATCTTGTCAGGCTGCTATTTAATGAGTTAATTTAAAGTCGATAAAAATATTACCTATCGTAAAACATGAAGCAAAATTTTATTTTCCATTTGTTTAATTATTCAAAAGATTGCTAATTATTAGAAGATCACCTTTATTCCTCGATCTTAAAATAATCCCATTTCTGAAGTATTTGACAAAATAATTTAAAATACTGACTTGCACAGTGTGATCTACCTTATCGGCAAAATTGCACATAGGCACTATAATACACCTGGTAAGAACATTTTATACTGTTATGAAATATTTGCAGTGAAAATATAACCGGCAGTCGAAAACATTATTGAACCAATAAATTACTTTTAGGTGCAACGTGTATTTTTAATACTTTAACTTCTAATTTTTATAGCAATGAAATAGCTTAAAGAAAAGTATACACAATTAAATTGCTACAAGTACATACAAATATAAATGTGAATAGCAAAACGATGGGCATCATAAAATATATAAAGAAAATGATCATATTTCACAAACCTTGTTGCTGTGTATGTAATAGAGTCCATTCAGTAACTGTTGTATGACCTTTTTTATTTCTCCCAAACTAAATTTCACATTCACATTTGAAAGTAAACCGGCAAGGTCGTGCTCACAAAAATCAAATATTAAATAGAATGTAGAACGATATCGATTATGCTGCGTAGCTGTAAAAAAAAAAAAAAAAAAAAAAAAAAAGAATAATTCTGCTTATAATAAGATCATAAAAAGCCATTATACAGGTTAAGTGGACGGTAGCATCATTCTCACCTTTAGTTCTACAGATTTCTATTAGATTAACAATATTTTCATTTTTCAAAAGTTGCAATATCCTGATTTCCCTCAAGGCTGTAATAGGAAACTGTGATACTTGGCATTAAAAAAAATGGACTCTCATTTCCCATTAAATTTCAAATAACACAATCAAAACTTACACCTTCTTTCTCATTGTCCATTAGAACCTTTTTCATGGCGATAAATCTCTTGGGATTCGCTTTATCGCGTGCTTTGAATACTTCACTAAAAAAAAACAACAGCATGCAAAACCGATTTAAAAAAAAAAGGTTCAACAATAATCATTGCAAGAAGAAAATTATTCACAGAACCAACCCAAATGTTCCCTGGCCGATTTTAGCAACCTTCTCGTATTTTGTGGCTTCATCGCAAAACGGAAATTCAAACTCTTCAATATATTTTTCCTTCTCTTTTATATTCATTCTACAGTGTCTTACTATCGTACGTTACAAGTGTATTAATTTTATGGATATTTCTAACCAGGTGAGATAAACAGTTTTTGTTTACACACAAACAAAATTATTCTGCTTCACATTTGACGACTGTCCATGGCGTTGACCATCTCTTTTCCCATTCCATAAATTCCTATTCCTGGAGACTATGGTGCCATTGTGGAAACAACTGACAACGCCGATATGGGGAAAATTAGAATTTGAGCTCAGCTGAAGCGCCATAATTGACAATGTAAATTTACATGCAGGTGATGGATTTTGGAAGCTAAGAGAAAAAGGCTTTTGCTTACAGCTTCTACAGGGAGAGCTCACACTCTCTTATTCGCAGCTTTCAAAACTTATCGCCTCATGCGAATTTCCATGTGGTAATGGCAGAGATAATATCTCTGGCAATGAGCGCTTCAGTTCAAAATGTTGAGATAACATCTTGCTAACACCCTTTCAGTCGCCATGTCGTACAGTACGATGGTAAACATGTTCTAACCTCATTTTGAGTGCCAAGTTCGCACTTTCGCAGTAGTTAATTTGTAAGGCAAAAAACATACAGTGGGTTGTGTGTGAATGGAGAGTGATTAAATAGAATAAGATGAACATTAAAGAGAAAGAAAAGTACTTGGAAGAGTTTAATTTTCCATTTTGTGATGAATCATCAAAATATGAAAAAGTTGCCAAAATAGGGCAAGGAACTTTTGGGTGAGCCTTGATGTTTTGTTAGCGTGATTTTTCATGTTATTCTTCAAATTATTTAATTTCTTTCATTTATCCTTGTTAATTAGGGAAGTTTTCAAGGCTCGCGATAAGTTGAACAATAAAAGGTATGTTGCCATGAAAAAGGTATTGATGGAAAACGAAAGAGAAGGTGTAAGTAGATTTTACTGTGTACACTAGTTGTTTATTTGTTTATGAGTGATACAACATTCTTGTTTTACATTTCAGTTTCCCATCACGGCACTTAGAGAAATTCGAATATTGCAACTTTTGAAAAATGAAAACATAGTCAATCTCATAGAAATATGCAGGACTAAAGGTATCTTATTCATCCACTTCTGGAAGCATGAGTTATTTTATGACTAATGTTCTTCATTATACTCCTAACATTTTTTTTCACTGAAATAAAACCAATAGTTATGTAAAAGGTACCTTGATAGTTTAGGTTACAATTTTCAGTAGTGTATAAATAAAACCTTCTGATGAATCAATCCATATGTTTGATTAACTTTATTTTTATATCGACTTTTCTTGTATTTGCAGCAACTCAAAATAATAAGTATCGCTCAACATTTTATCTTATATTTGACTTTTGTGAGCACGACCTTGCCGGTTTACTTTCAAATGTGAATGTAAAGTTTAGCTTAGGAGAAATAAAAAAGGTTATGCAACAATTATTAAACGGATTGTATTATATACATAGCAATAAGGTTTGTACATATTAAACTTACATTTAATGGCAATTTATTTCTATAACCGTTTGCAGTTTATCATATGCTTCATTTTAGATTTTACACAGAGATATGAAAGCAGCAAATGTTTTGATAACAAAAAATGGTATACTGAAATTGGCCGATTTTGGACTTGCCAGAGCATTTAGTATAAACAAAGGCGGCCAAGCAAACCGTTACACCAANTTTTTATTAAAATACAAGTAAATTGAAAAATCAATTTTAATTTCTGACTGAGTCGTATGATTGAATAAAAATTTAACTTGATTATTTAACATATTCCTACAAATCCATTAGAAGCGTCCGAATCATGATTTCATTTAGCTGTTGTAGAGTTGAAAATATCAAACGGAAAGTTTAGAGTAAATTTTTTTTCAAATAGGTGATACCTCCGCCAAATGTGATCATATCATGGCTCTATGCGGTTAAAAAAATTCCCCGAAAGACGCAAATGACAAACTAATGCAGTATATCTCGCGTGCAATTTTGCAAAAAATATTTGCAAAAATGCCTAGGGTAAAACCTCGCAAAGGAATGTACAAAGTGTGCGAAGCAATTTTCAAAATTTTCGAATTATCTCGAAAAAAACTTTGTAAATTTTTCAAAGACTTGTGCGTGTACACGCAAGCAGCCCCCACGTTCTTCCCGCATCTCAAAGCCCCATTCTGACACTCTCTATGATGCTCCGGAGAGAGCCCTCATTTTTTCTATCCGGGACGCGTGCGCGCGAGAAAAGAGATCGCGCTTTACGAGGAGCGCGCGCGCCACTATATGCACACGTCGCACAGTAATCCCCGAGATTTCTGCAAGTTGGCAAAGCGTTGGTGAAATGATCCTCGCGCCCATGGAGATGCGACGAGTCCTAGGGCGTTGCACCCGAGAACTCTTTTTTTTTTTTTTTTTTTTTTTTTCTGTGGATGGTCCCGTGCATATTACGCGCAGCTCTATACACGCGTAAAACATCTTACGGGCGGTATTGACATTTTTTTTCGGCAATATTAATTATTACCTTATGAGCGAATAATTTTACTGGAATGTGTCGTTCGTCGATGTATCAGGTTTTGGATGAGTCACATGAAATAGTTCTAGGGTGTTTTTTTTATTACGATTTGGATTTAAATTGAACTGGACGATTTTGCTACGGATCACACGAAAATTTTGAGGAATGGTAATTTACAAGTTTCAATTCGTAATCTATAAGCTTAACATTTAAACAGGGGTTATGCATGTCTTCCTTTTTTTTTTTAATAAATCTAAATTATGATACGTCACAAAATAATACAAATATACAGAAGTTTTGAGGATACTCACACCTTATAATCTCTAGTCAATTAAGCGTCTTATCTACAAAACTGTATTTATATTATTATTGCACTGAAAATTACTAATATAATATTAAAAAAAAAATAAATAAATACAAGTTCTCCTTAATTTTACTGTTTATTCAGAAAATAATCTAACTTTGACGTTTATTTTTCTATTATTATAATATTTTCTTACATCTTTTGGAAGCGTTAAACAG